AAAAAATACACGGATCAGGGCGTCCTCCTCCCGATAACAACGGGCAGGTGACCTCTCACTGCTTATGCATTCATCAAAGGCATTATCAACGGGACACCTAGACTAAGGTTCTCACGCATACAAAAGCTACCGAAATGAACATTTATAAGAAATAACGAGTGCGATAATTATAGATGCAACGTAAGTGTACCCACCTGGTCGAAAGCAAGAGACAACACAAAACACGTGTAAGTAGCGAGGTCGGCTCGTCAAACACCTACATATATTAAAATAGTTCTATAAATAACTATCCAACACAAGAACAATTTATAGCAACATACATGGATTCCACTCAACACATCTAAGTCATATAGGCATGCATTTAACAAGTAAAACCCAATTTCAAAGGTACACAAGATTTCCAAAACTTCACCCGCGCAACGATTTTGAAATCAACACAACTTGCAGCACATATATTATATAATAATAATTCCAATTGCATTTGAACCCTAAGACATGATTTTGTAGTTTTTATGAAGACATAAAAAACAACTAAGGCCATTTACTAGGAAATAAATCATCAAACATTTAGAATTGAGTAGCAGTAAAAAAATTGAGAACATGCAACTGACCGAACTTTAGTAATTGTAAGATAACTGGAGCTACAGACATGCTTTTAATGAGATACAAAAATCACATGGCAGATAACTCAAATATCTAAAACTTTGCTGAAGATCACATTGGCAATTAGTGACATTATCAACGAGTTTAAACACAAAATATTTGATTCATAAAATATGCTAGAGACTAACTTATGATATAAACACCTCAGTATTTATCATCTAAATCATACTACAGACTTCCAAATGACATGATTGTAGTATGCTTAGAAAGCTAAGAGACGGCCCTACAACATTTATTTAGAATATAGAAGTAGATAAGGTCATTAAGAGTAAAAGTAGTTAATATTTAGAATCAGTTTTCCGCCAAAAGTTAAAAACTCATCTCATGCATGTCCTAACTCAATTTAACCTAACTCGAACCACATACATCATATCACCATGAATCATATCTCATTAGAAAGCTAAGCAACATACCTATAAATTTCATGAAGACGACAAATTCATTTGAGCACATTAGACATAATAAATGGGCCAAACAATTAGTACAACATGTTGTTGGGTTTTCAGAAAACTGTTTGCACAATAATTTTGTAATAATTACAACTCACACGATTTAAATTGGATTTACAAATTTCTAAAGCCTTCTGAAAGCTAACAGAGTAAACTACAATTCATATGAAGAACACTTTTTCAGAAAATAATTTCTTTATGGTCATAACAGAGGCACCTTACCTTCATCAAGAAAACAAAATGAGGAGAAATGAAAAAGGTGTTGCTTGGTGCTCTCGGTTGTTATTTGAACTCGTATAGTTGGGGCCTTTTAGCTTGTATCCTTGAATTTGTTGATACTAATATTTTCCTTGATGAGTTTAGGATGAGAGAAGAATGCAAACTTGTTGGTACTAGGAATTATAGTTGGGTAGAACTTAAGAACAAATCATACATGCACTCAATAGCACAATAGTTTCACTCTCGATTTTCATGTTTTTGAGGGAGAGTTTAAGCATGAATTTTCTAAGTCTTTCATGGAGAAAAAGCTGAGGAAATGGCGTGAGAAATGGCTTGTGAGAGGCTTAATAGACCACAAAATGGTGGGTTAAAAACTTTAGAGCATGTGGGGGACATTAGTTGACTATCTTACATGAAATGAACATGGGTTAGAATCTTGCATGTGGAAGAGTGGTAGAAACACTAGGGTTGATAGATGCTATGTTTAAACCATATGGGGAGTATGGAACAAGGTGCTGATGCTAAAAAATGTCAGCAACATGGGTGAACCGTATACTAAAGTGTATACTTTGTTCAATCTGCTCGAATAGATTTGTTCTAGAAATATGGGTTGAATACTTGTTCTATTCATGACTTTTTGATATAAATATGTTGTGAGATGAATTTATGAATAAAACTATCTGAAAGAAAGAATCAAAGAGAACGAATATCAAGCTTATTTTCATTGATAATATGGGAAGAATGTCCCCTCCTCTCTGTCCTCTGAGATTGTCTTTTTATCCCACTGGATTCCCTCTCTTTGGATAAGATTTGCCAAAAATCTCTTTGGCCTAACATGTGGACATGAAATAATGAGTAATAAAATAGTACAAATAATATTTTAATATGGTGTGATTGTGTGGGGCCCAATTACGATACTGGACAAATTCGATAAATGTTTGTCTTTGTCGGTGGTGTGCGTCCTCAGAAGACGACTTCTTTATTATATCTGGGTCAGGCTATTGATATAAATTCTGCTCGGAGAACCTGCTATTTGCATAATTATTTATTACGTATTATAACCTCTTTCTGCATGCGTGTGACATAAAAACTAAAACTACTAGCATCTACAACTGATAAATTCAAAAATAGGTTTTTCTTACCCCAGCTAATATAGCTTTTCTTCTTTCCTTCTACTTGATTTTAATCTAACCCACTTCACATATTTATCTATCTATATGTGACAATAATGATTATGTTTAATGTATAAACCAAAAGATTCATGTAGCAGACAACTAAAGCCTCAGTATCCAGACATGTTATATACTTCACTTCACACTTCACAATCCAACCATATTAGTCTTGTTGTGATTTCACATCACTTGCAAAATGCATCCACCAAAAAGATAATCAATCAATCAGGCAATCCAAACACAATCTCATCAAACCAGAAATTGTAGAAGAAGAAGCACACAGATTTGAATTTCACATCAAAATAAACACAACCGAGTAAAATACAAAAACACCAACTCTCATACAAAACCTCAAACAAACTAATAACTCCAGTAGCTAATTAAAACTTAGATGTTTTACACAAACAAACAAGCCACTAACCTCACAAGTCGTAAACACGAAACATATTGCACACACTGTCGCCAAGAATTTACCGACCCGAAAAATTTCTAAGACCAACAAAGGACAAAATATCAAGTTCATAAAACTATTTTGTTTTTTTTTTTTACACAAAAGTAGAGTAGATAGACAAGTTTATTATTACTTTTTTTTTATTTTTTCATTTTGTTTTTTTTTTTTTAAGTGAGACGAACTTCCCCACTCGCATGAGCCGCCTTGACTTGCTTGTCATACTCGTCCTCGTCATCCTTTTCCTCCTCCACTTCATCATCCGCAATATCTCTTTATCCTCCTCACCATCTTCCTCTCCCCACCCAAAGCCTCCAACCGAGCGAGTGACCCGTGGAGGGGATTTGGCCTCCTCCACAATTTTCATGATCTCCTCCACGGTTTGAAGGGAGAAGGTGGGATTCTTCTTTCGGTAGTACCGTGCTTGGGACACATCCACGGGTGTGATGTTATTTCTTTGATAGTAATCCTCTGCAACAAATATAGATACGAAAAATCGCGTGGTTAGACGAACTTGTTATTGCTTGTATAGACTATAGGCCAACAACAAGAAATTTGGCCTAAAGATAATAATTGCTTTTAGAATTACAAACACCCCCTTGAGACATTGTAACAAAAATACTGCGCCTCTTGGAAGCGTAATTTGCAATAGTAAAAAAAAGATTGAGGTTTTGAAAGAGGGCTATCTTTAATTTACATCTCAAGGGCACCTTTGTTTTTTACAGACAATAAAAAATGATTTAAAATATCTAAATTTGAATGAGAATATGTATTTTGATCGAGCACAATAACAACATGTGATTCATATAGCCGACCCCACTTAATGAGATTTTAATGGCTTGTTGATTGATTGATTAATTGATTGTGATACAACAATAGATTCGATTGTAAATAGTGAAAATAGAAATAGATCATCACTTTATTTTTAAATTGAACAGAAAAAAAAAGCATAACCAAAATTCATTAACTCAGTCAACATGACAATTTTTACTACAAAATATCAAGATAATATAACAGACAGTAGACGTACACTGGAAGGATTTGCAACAATAATGCGAGAGAGGAGGCGCCTACAATCTTGAGATATGTGGACATAATCGGGGATCTTGTATTGACCGCCATTATCCTCTGGCAAAAATCACCATAGAAAATGCGAGGGATAAACTTACTAATTGTAGACACTGTATTATGCATATATAAGCCAAAACCTTCAAGCATGAAAAAAGACTACAATGAAAAGGCTTACTTGGATGGTTTTCCTAAAGTTCTTTGGAACTTCTTGATCTTCAAAAGGATGTGCTCCGACAAGCATAACATAAAATGTCACCCTGCACGACCAAACGTCAGCCAACTGGAAAAAAAATAGTAAAATACCAACCAAGATTAAACATAAATGTTCACAAAAATAGTATGTTTATCTTCGATTTCACAAACATGTCTTTATAAGTATATATACACAGAAGGAAGGTACAAAATATTATAAGGGTGGAAGCCAAAGAAAGCAATGCATACCCAACTCAAACCACATAAGTTAAGGCACAAAACATATTTATTTATAATAAAATAATAGGAAAATAGGGTATGTAAGAAATACGATAAGACATTTTAAGTTTCTACACCATCAACTTATGGCTTTAGTTACAGATCTTACCTTCCCATCATATTCTCTCCTGGAGAGGACCTCCAGAGCAATATAAGCAGGTGTACCAACAGTTGACTTAGGCCTCAAATGAAGTAGAGATGATTAAAAAAAAAAAGCAAAAGAAAGAAGGAAACTAGTAAGCACATGCTTATTGTGTACAAACATTCTTAAACAAAAGATACTACACCTAAATATCCAGTCTACCCTTGAGTAACCAAAGTCGCATATTTTCAAGCACGGGGTCGGGATTCCATCTAGAAGAGTATTCTCCAGCTTCAAGTCACGATGGCATATTTGCTACAGACCCCAAAGAGTAATTGGGATAATGTTAGAACAATGACCACAGTCAACAAGTTTCAAAAGATAATGCAAATTCAAATATTGTATGCACGATCAAATCCTATTCATAAGTTAGGTTTTTTCTTTCCATGGAGTGACAGTAGCTGACTCCAGAAATAAGTTGTTGGAAGAAGTACCTTGACTAAAAATATGGTGACACGCGGATCAAAATATAACACACATCAGACAAACTTCCTCGATCGATTTCAAAAGTGAGGCAAAATTGTTGACAAAAGAAAATGTGTTAATAATACCTCATCTTCACTAAACCGTCCAACATTGCAAATCCTCTCAAAGAGCTCTCACCAGCAGCATACTCCATAACAATGGACAGATGTGTTGGGGTCAAAACCACCTGTGAATCACAAAGCTAAATGTTGTGAGTATTTTTACCGGAGTAGAATCGAAAGATTCTTTCCCCGGGTCACATCGCAAGGAAGGTTAGCCAGATTCAATTGTACAATTATTCGGTCACGAAAAAAGGAAATCCTAAACACTCTATATCAATGGTTTTGGTTTCGATTATAGCTAATGACTTTAAAATAAATGAAAAGTAATATAAATAGTAAGTGAATTAACTCAAATGATTGAAGAGCTAGGGAATCAGAGATAATTGCTTTCGGTTCTAACACAACTACCGGGCAATCAATTGCTCGGTTAAAGGACTTGAATCGTCTCTCGTTCAGAGTTTCACTCTCAATATCAGTTCCAGCAACGCATAGACAATACAGTTACGAACAAGTCTACTCTAGACAAGCCTATATCGACCAACGTCTCCCCTCTCGGTTCTACACGTTGATTTATTAGGTTAGAAAGGTGATCAATCTACTAACCCTAGGACAAGCACAAATCGCATAAATATGAGCAATTAAGAACAAGCAATTATTATTGAACTTAATCAATCATCCCCTATCCCTAGCGTATGGATTTAGCTACTCATATGAAATTTAACATCAACATTCGTATTAGCCCAAGCCATCATCATCAACACACCATTGATAAAAGAATAACTTACGATTAATGTAAATAGTTCAATGTCAAATCCACAAGCATCCAAATCCAAAGCAAGAACAGAGTTTCAATCTCCAAAATCCAATCAAAAGAGCAAAAGTATGAAAAGGAATGAGTTTTAGAGAGAAAGTACGTAAAAAACTAAGTCTGCATGTTGAATAATGATCCCTAGGTCTAAATTCTGATGTAAAAATACCGACCTCAAAATTTACGCCAAGTAAGTCGCGAGTCGCGACATAAGTCGCGAGTCGCGACTTCCACTTTTCTTAGGTCGGGAGTCGCGACATCTCGCGAGTCGCGCGTCGGAAAAAATCTTCAAAATCTGGGAAAAGTCGCGACATGTCTCGCGAGTCGTGACTCCATCTCACGAGTCGCGACCTTGACTCGCGAGTCGCGACTCGTGCTCGTGAACTTTATCTTTAGCCTCTATTGAACTCGAGAGTGGTGACCATCTCGAGAGTCGCAACCATCTCGCGAGTCGAGACTCCACTCGCGAGTCGCGAGAAATTCTGGGCAGTCTTCAGTTCATTTTTCCTGTCCTTCCTTCAGCTTTCGGAGCTCTACGACGGGTATTCTTGGCATCACGGTCTCGTCTCCAACGGTCTCGTCCTCGACCGACACAACCTATCTCCTGAAAACACAAACATAGAAAAACACGAAGCAAAACACAACAAAAAGACGCACAAAACGAAACTAAAGAGAAAAACACAAAAACACATAATTGGACCAAATAAACCACGAAAATCCTATAAATGGGGAAAATACAAGGAAAATAAACCCAAAATAAAGACACAAAAATAGGACAAACAAATCCCCCACACTAAAACCTTTGTTCGACCCGAACAAAAAGAGGAGAAAAGAAAAGAAAAGAAATAAATGAGCAAAGACAACAATTCAAGCAAGACTAATCTCAAACACATCAATCGAACTGAGAAGAATTCCAATGATCACAAGAACACACCTCAATTATCAACCCAGCTATTTCGAAGAACAAAGACTCTCGAGTACAAGTATGTATATATATATATATATGTATATATGCCTCACTCAGTTTCTTTGCAAAATATAAGAGAGGTGCACTCAAATTGGTCGTCAGTCAAGTCAATCATAGATTTGCCTATCGTCTAACTCTTACTCTAAAACAATCAAATTCATAAAACAGTGAATCAAGAGGTCTTAAAGGGTTGTAACGTAGGCTCTTTGGACCGGGTAGGAAAAATATAGGTTAAGTGGCTCAAAATATATCAACTCAACTCATTCACCCAACCGTATCAACAACTCATCCAGTTGTCACCAACCGGCTCCTCCCACTAACTCCAAGACCAACATACTTCCCAAGCATCTTTTTTTTCTTTTTTTTTTTTGCGAAAACCATTTGGACATCTTATCTAGGTTTAACCTTCGAGTTTTCTACTCGAGTCTCCTAGACCGGTTTCCCGTACTCATGGCTCGTATCCACTAAGGTAGTGGAAAGAGCGCTAGGAGTATAATCCACTTGGCTTCCCTTTTTTTTTTGTAAAGCAAATAAACATATAAACAATGCAATCAACTATCACCTCCGATACTTTCCCGCAATTCAATATCATCATCACGAGGTTAATCAAAAAAATCAATCAAGGCTCAAAGGGGGTGACTAGTGACTGTTATTCATGAAAAGAAAAAGGAAAAGATAATATCAGGAACGCCTCAATCATATTCACGTTTCACAAATCTAATAGAGTTATTCCAAAACAGTCTCAAGGCAAATTCTACTTGACAAGAGATGACCAATATCACACAAGAAACAAAATAGCTTGGTAACACAAAACTCCTCGACCGGCTGGAACTTGAGTAATCGCCTTCCTTCTCGCCGGTTGAACGTCGTGCACCTACAAAGAACTCTCACACCGGAGGGGTTTTCCTATCGCTATCCACCACTGCTTTCTCGACACGTGTCCCTCTGCACATGGGGTAAATATTCTCCTGGGATTCTGTCAGAGGCTTCCTTCACGCGCCTATGACTAGGCCGAACAGCGTGGTGTTAAGTCCTCGAAGTAATCGACCTGCTGAGGTCGAATAAATTGCTCGATCGCGTATCTGGTCGAAGGATAGTTTGGTCGACAGCCTTGCTTGGTCGACTAGTTAATTGCTCGATTTCTTTGGCTTCCTCCTAATATGACCTCCTCGACCGGTCAACAGACCGGTTCAGCCTTGTGGGTATAATATCCCATATCATCTAGTCCCCCCCACTCTGGTCGAGTCTGAATGATTCAATCTAAGAGTGAATTAGCATTTATCGTCCTTCTGGATGGTTTGTCGTTAGATATCGACCAGCTTGTAAGCTTCCCGCTCACTTTTTCAAATAATTCTCCATTAATCCCTAGCAATAAAGTCATCCGCTTTAAGTCCTTTCTGTCGCATCCGTTTTCTGCCACGCGTCACGACTGTCAGATGTGTCAGACACTTTAATTATTGCACCTCCTCGCCTAACGCGTCCGTTTTGAGCTCCGTGCAAATTAATACTCCCCATCGTTGGATCTACCTTTAATCCGACGGTCCTGCTCTCCCCACCTTTTAGCCTCCCAAGTATATATTTAGCACTTAGCGATTTTTTTCAGTTTTTTCCCCCTTTGCAACTTCAGACTTCCCTGTGTTCAAATATTCCTTTTGCAAAAACCCTAATTTATTTCGACGCTTTCCCCTGCAATCTTCAAGCTTTTCCACATCTTCCATCTGCGCTCATGAGTAAGTTGCTCCTCCTCTGGTTTTACGCTTTCCGTGCTTAGGATTTTATGTTTCGAATTTTTTGAATTGGATGTTTTAAGTCTGCTAACTGGGTGTTTTGAATTCGTATGTCGGGTGTTGGCCTTTTCCCTGTTCAATTGTTGTAGATTTCGCTCTCTCCCTCTGAGATTCTCTTTGAATCTCTGCTCTCCTCCCCTGATTTCTCCCAAAACCATCTTTTTCATAAAACCCCTATTTTGAAAACCTTCTCTTTCTTCCTCTCTTCATTTCCGTCCAAATTTCCCTTTTTGACGTTGCTCCTTTCTTCTTTGTTTTTCAGATCCTGCTGCCTCGACCACCTCCTCTGATTCGGTTGAGATCCTGCCCTCCACGCTTGAAGCCGTTCCCCTTTCAATACTCCGTCCTGGTGAGACCGTACCTACACGCGTTTTTACTGCCCGTGCCTCTTCTCCCAACTCTGGGGATACTATGGATAATATTCCCCTCCGTCGTCGCCGACCTGCTCTTGGTGAGCTAGATGAGCCTGAGAGGGACGAAGTTGCTTCTCCATCCTTGAACATCCCTCCTTCTTCCTCGCAACCTAGCGCTTCTGCCTCCCCGCCTAAGAAAAAATCGACCAAGGCCACCTCTAAAGCCTCTTCCAAACGCTCCTCTTCCCTTACTCTTTCCAGTGATTGGGTGAGTCCTTCCAGAATCGGTCGACCTGTTGGTTGGACCTTCTACATCCCTTCAGAGTCCGACAAATATGACCAGCCTCCGGAGAATTGTTACACCTTCTTCGAGATCCAGTTTAAGATGGGCTTGCGTTTTTCCCTGAACCCTGAGTTACTTCAAATTTGTGAGTGGTTTGGGCTTCCTTGCATCAGCTTCCTCCAAACGCCATCCGCTTCATGACGGTCTTCATTATTCTCTGTCATGTTCGCCTCGGTCGATTCGACCTCGCCTTTTTTCATTACTGTTACGCCCCTTCCAAACAAGCTCGAGGTCTCTACCTAAAGAGTCGCAACGGCGCTCACTTCATCGATGACATCCCCTCCAACCTGCCCAATTGGATCGACAGGTTCATTTTTGTTCGACCTGAGGCACCGTTCCCTTGGCCTTCCGTCCCCTGGGTGAAGGAGATTCCCGAGGAGGTTTCCGCTCCTCCCTCCAATCCCCTTTTCGAGCAACGGGTCCATACCTGGAACTCTAAGCCCTTGTTTGCTTTTGGGGATGGGATTGGACTAATTTAGTCCAATTGGAAAGGATTATACTGTTGGAATTGAATTAATCATATGTTTGTTATACAGGATAAGGGGTAGGATAAGTTTAGAGATTAAATTAAATAAAAAATGTGTAGGTGGTGTAAAGTACTTTTATACCCTTTCAATTAAACCAAAAATTATTAAAATGAGGGTAAATTTGACT